TATCGGTAAATTCAGTAAAAACAGTGAATCCATTCAGTGATAGAGAATGGATCACTAATTCACTTATTTATTGAAATATCTATGATGTGTAAATTCTAAATGAAAGGTAATGTTAAATCCATGTTTTGCCATGAAGAGGCACAATGTCGCCTACTTCAGTGTTTAGGATTTACATGCAGGTGATTTGCCATGAAGAGGCACAATGTCGCCTACTTCAGTGTTTAGGATTTACATGCAGGTGATTACCTATCAGGATCTGGGTCCACCCTTGTGGCACTGTGGGATTACTCACTGGACCACAAGGTTGGTTTGAACCACAAGGTTGGCAGTTCACTTGCTGGTCCTTGGAAACCCTACAGGGTCACTATGAGTCGGAAGTGATTTGATGGCACCTAACAACAAACAACAACATATGCCATTGACCAGTCACACTTTCTAGAGCTGTACTGTCCACTATATACACATGTGGCTATTGAAATTAAGATGAACTAAAATTAAAGAGTTATTTCTTCCCACTTTGAGCATTTGACTGGCTTAGTAGCCACATGTGACCTGTGGTTACTATATTGGACAAATCCGAATTCCACCATCCAGAAAGTTCTGTTGGGCAGTTCTATTCCCGAGGGAGTTTCTGGAATAATTTATAGCAGTAGTAATTCCTGCATGGGTGCCTAACGAAACAGATCACCTTGTCCTCACTAGGCTGGCAGAATGCCCATAGTTAAGACTATCATGATGAATAGTAATTTGTTGTTTTAAGCAGGTTTAACAAAGCCTTTGGAATTGTATTTATCCTGGGATTTTGCTTGGCAAAGTAGTCTTTATACAGCAAGGAGATGCCAGAATTCAGGAATTCTGAATTAGTGCCGTCCAAATTGATTAGATTTACTATATTCCCTATAGGTCATTTTTGAAGGATATGCTGACCTGAGGTCACCCCCACCCTCTTCCATTTATATACTTGCTGCTGTAAATAATCACCCACTTCCTGGTCATTATCAGTTCTCAAACATTTGTCAACTTTGGCCACTCTCCTAAATTACATTATTGGGCATTTCCATTGCCTTTGCTTTATGAGTGACATCTTTAGCAAAATCACCGTTTCTCACCATTATTTGTCAACCAGGCCTGGTAAAAATAGATAACTTATCATGATGTTTCCTGTTGTGTAAGAACCAAGTATCAGATAATACAAATGCAGAATGTGTCATAGATGGAAGAATAGATGTTCTTTTGATATGCTTATAGCAATTTACATGATGTGGTGAAATACATATGAATCAGAATGACTGCAAGGAGACATTAGGGCCAGGGGATCCGCCTGCGTTTGTGAGGTGCTGCATTAGCAAAGGGAGGACACTCGCTCTGTAGAGAGTCTGCAACTTTGCTGCCCAGAGAGGGATTGCCAGCATCCTCTGGGGAGTCACGTATGATGAGAAAAGGAGCCCTGTGTCTTTCATTTCAGACATTTCCCACCAAAGTTGTGATGACATGCCTGCAGTGGTGAATTCTCTTCTGTCTAATCAAAGTGAGTGCATCTTGGCGGGGCGACTTGGTCAGAGTCAAGGGGTTCAAGGACGTCCTGTTTCCTATCTCTGGAATCTATTAAAGGCAATACACAAGATGCTACTTTGTGAGTGCCTCTTCTCAACTGTTGTTGTTTTTAAGTGCCGTTGAGTTGGTTCCGAGTCCTAGTACTTTGTGTTTCCAAGGAGCAGCTAGTGGGTTTGAACCACAGACCTTGCCATTAGTGGCTCAGTGCTTATCCTACAGCACCACACCAGCAAAGCTTGAAGACCTGGAGATGTGGAGGATTAAAGGAAAAAGATTGGAAATCTTTTTCTATTATGGCAAGGTCTATGATGAAAAGACAACCATGGACTTCGAATACACTGCCTTGCTACTTTTTTGGCCCTTCTTTCCTACATAGCTGCCATGAAATGGAATGCATACGATATCCTAGGAATCAGTGTGCTGAAATGGGCTGGTATTGGCCATTTTGAATCAGGAAATCAAATGGTTTACTTAGCCAGAAATGACAAATTCAAGAGGAATGGTGTAGTATTCATCTTCAAAAAGAAAGTATCAAGATCAATCGTAAAGTACAACACTATCGGTGATAGGATAATATCCATACACCTACAAGGAAGATGAGTAAATACCACTATTACTCAAATGTACGCACCAACCACTAAAGCCAGTGATGATGACATTGAAAATTTCTACCAACTTCTTCAGTGTGAAATTGATCAAATATGAACTCAAGATGGTGATTGGAATACAAATTTGGAAACCAAGAGGAAGGATCAGTAGTTGGAAAATATGGCTTTGGTCATATAAATGATGTTGGATATCAAATGATAGAATTTTGCAAGACCAATGACTTATTCATTGCAAATATCTTTTTTAAATACTGAACCTTGCTAGATGGAATACACATGAATCAAATTAATGACATCTATGGGGCGAGATGGTGAAAAAGCTTAATATCATTAACCAAAACAAACCCAGGGGCAGACTGTGAAACACATAATTGCTCATATGCAACTTCGGGTTGTAACTAAATTAAAACAAGTCTAAGAGAGCCAAAATATTACCTTGAGCATATCCCTCCTGAATTTAGAGACCCATCTCAAGAGATTTGATGCATTATGCATTAGACACTAAACACCAAAGAGCAGAAGAATTATGGAATGATATTAAGCATATCATACAGGAAGAAAGCAAAAAGGCATTAAGAAAGATAGGAGAGAATTAAAAGACCAAAATGGATGTCAAGAGGGAGCTACTAGAAATTCAAATCAGATTGAGAAAAGGATGTGGCACTAAGGATATCACTGCTGATATCAGATGGACTTTGGCTGAAAGCAGAGAATATCAGGAAGATGCTTACTTGTGCTTTATTGACTATGCAAAGGTATTCAATTGTATGGATCACAAGCTATGAATAACATTGCGAAGAATGCGAACTTCAGAACACTTAATTGTGCTCATGAGGAACCTGTACATAGACCAAGAGGCAGTTACTCAAAAGGAACACGGGGAAACTGAATGGATTAAAATCAGGAAAGGTGTGTAGCAGAGCTGTATTCTTTTACCATACTTACTCGATTTGTATGTCAAGCAAATAATCTGAGAAGCTGGATTAGTTGAAGAACATGGCATTAGGATTAGACAAAGACTCATTAGCAACCTGTGATATGCAGATGATACAACCTTGCTTGCTGGAAGTGAAGAGGATTTAAAATACTTACTGATGAAGATGCCTTCGGTATGAATTGCATCTCAATATAAAGAAAACGAAAATCCTCACCACTGGACCAGTAAATAACATCATGATAAATGGAGAAAAGATTTAAGATATGTCAAAGATTTCATTCATGCTTTGATCATCAATCAGTACTCAAGAAATCAGCAGTCAATAAATCAAACAACATAATTGCATTAGTCAAATCTTCTGTACAAGACCTCTTTAAAGTGCTCAAGAGCAAAGATAATCAGCTTGAGGACTAAAATGTGCCTGACCCAAAATGCAGTATTTTCAGTTGTCTCATATGCATATGAAAGAAGACTGTAGAAGAATTGATGCATTTGAATTACGGTGTTGGAGAATATTCAAGGTTCTGTGGACTGTCTGAAGAACAAACATATCCGTGTTGGAATAAGTACAACCATAATGATACTTAGAAGCTAGGATGATGAGACTGTGTCTCTCGTACTTCAGACATGTTATCAGGAGGGCTCAATCCCTGAAGAAGGAGGACATTATGCTTAGTAAAGTTGGGGGTACAGCTAAACACAGAGGAAGACCCCAACAAGATGGATTAGCATAGTGGCAGCAGCAATGGACTCAAAGTCGAGAACAGTTATGAGGATAGTGCTGGACTGGGCAGTGTTTTGTTCTGTTGTAGATAGGGTCCAGCTATGAGTGAGATGGCACTGGATGGCACCCAACAACAACCAATATCTCCTCACCATCCCTGTCATTTTCTCCATCACAGTGTGTTCTTTCAAGTTATCTCTGGGATGTGTCCATTTCTCCCATCATAAAACATAACTGAAATGTCCAACCTCTTTCGGTCTGAGATGTTCTCCTCATGCCCTTTGCAGTTCCAGCAATCTGCCTTCACACAACAGCCAGAGTGATTTTTCAAATGCCTAATCTGAACAGATCACTCCCTGTTTAACTGCTCTATTTGCTTAGGAGCAAGATTAAATTGCTCAACTTAGTTTATTGGTACCTATCTGGTTGACCATTTCTAACCTTACCTCAACCTCACGCCCTCAACCTGTTAATTAAGTTTTGGTCACACAGGCATTTTTTAAGTCCTACAATCCAAACTTACTCCTGCCTCAGGGCCTTTGCACTCCCCTTTCGATTCCTCCTTGCCTAGTTAACTCATAATCATCTGTCAAGTATGTTTAGTCATCACTTCCTCATTATGCCTCACTTCAGTTGTCATACGCCCTGCCCATGGAGCCAGGGCACATTTAGTCTTTGCTTTTTTCGTGTGGGGGTGGTGGTGACTGTTTAACTCAAAAGCTCCAGAGACCATATTTATCTTTTACTTGCCATTGTATTCCCAGCATCTAGTCTTGTACCTGACATTTGAGACATGAGTTCAACATTTATTGACCAAATAAATAAGCAGTAACATTTACCCCGCCAGGCTTACATGCATGGTATACAAAGGAAGCGCACAGACTCAAGAGCCCTGAGTCCCAATTCTGACTCTGCTATATAGTAGGTAGGTGATCTTGGGTTAAGTTGGTTTATCTAAACTTTAGTTTTCTATTCAATAAAATGGACTATAACAAAATTGACATGAGGTTATGAAAAAAAGAAATAATGTATACCAGTTGGGAAAGTGATAGGTTCTCAGTGAACAAGTGACATCATCATCATTACTATTCCTATTATCCAGTGTGGGGCAGAAAGTCCTGTGGTGAAGCCACCAGGTTCCTGAACAAGACGTGACAGAATTAGTACTCAACACTCAAAAGGAAACAGATAGTAACATTTTTTATTAAATATTACAGTGGATCAAAAAGTACAAAATATCTCTTGCCTGCTATGTGATTGGGAAACTATTGGCACGTAATACAGTATCAAAAGCAGTAATAAGTACAATTTGGAAAACATACAAAATTGAGTGTTTATAGTTGGCTCAGCATTCTTCTGGTAGTGTTTAAACTAATGCAAAGGTTACTCAATAACCTCTCCATTGGGAAATTATATAATATCACTGGGCCATGTTGCTATATACAAATAATCACCTTACAGAGCATAGAGGTTACATAGCTGGAATCACCAAAAGTATACAATATTTACAACACAGGAAAGTTTAAAAAAGTATAAACAGCCAAGAGATTATGCTGCCATTCTTCAGACATATTTCAACCATGGGGAGACAAGCAGAATATCAAATACATCAACAGCCAACACTGAAATTTAAGTGCTTAAGATACTCATTGCAATGGTGTGGGTCTCACCAGGGCGAAATCTTCTCCCGTTTCTCTTTTAAATTGGGACAAGAGTAAAACTGGACCAGATGGGACTTGGCTGACCACCACCAAATGTGACTTTGTGGAACAAGTGAAGAGAAATAAATGGTTCTCTTTGAAGGCACACTACATAAAATATCTTTTTGTGTGTGTGGGATCACCTTGAAATTTCCATCAGACACACCAACACAGTGAAATACAGTACTTGAGAATTCATGCACCAGGTCAGAAAGTTGTAAAGTCAACGATGAGTTTTAACAAACCCTTCTGTATATGCCCTGATAAACAAGTGAACTTAAGAGCTTCGAGATAGAAAATAAATAAGTCAGTCCTGTGGCAAATATTACATGTTCGAATCACTTACTATGAGATTACTTAATTCTGAAACTCGGGCTCTGTTTTGTGTTGCCAAAAGTTAAACCAGAAGTTGCATGGAAAGGTTTAAAAACTATTATTTAAAATCTCCAAATCTCCAATAAATCATGTACTTAGTGCATTTTGAATTGCAACATTTCTTGGAAGCCACACTCAGTAAATATATTTATGACTCCATTGCCAATTAGATTCCACAGTTTCCTTTACAAAACTACCAATAACAATGGTTTGATTGCACAAAGCAAGGCTTGTGCAATTCCATTCAATAATAAGGCCCCTTGAACTCAAACAATGCAAACAAAGCCCTATTTAAGACTTTTTCAAAAAAGTAGTTCTCAGCCAATGAAGAATTCAATGGTCTTTTTGAAAGATTTCCAAGATTTCTGTTCAGAGTTTTAAAACAAATAACCCACTGCTTCTGTTGGGAACATATACCCCCATATCTCTTTGATTTGTCCTGATGGTTTGTGGAGGGTCTGAGCTTTCTCAGATAGAAACAGTGGGTCTCCTCTCGGAAGAGGTGAGAAAAACAAAAGCTGGACTATGTCAACATTGTTTGAAAATGGTGTGATCGAATTCCAACGTGATGACACCAGGTTGAAATCATTACAGTGGGGAAAATGCATGCCCCCCTCTTCTAAATGAACAGGTGAGCTCCAACAGGGCCAGTCTCCCTTGTCTCTGAGAAATGAACTCTTACAAACCAGGTACAATCTAGCCCACGTCTGCTGCAGAACTACTGAAGTTTCCTTTTTCTTCCATGTCTTGTGATTCTGTGACCATTCGATCTAGTGCAACTTTCTTACATATGTCCGGGCTAGCGCTTTGCTAGCTGGAATTGAGATTTTTCTTTTCTCCCTCTACCTTGTGCAATAGCAGGATAATCTGCATTCACACATTGATAATCTAAATTCTACTAGCCTATCTATTTTATTAAATATATATATATATATATTATTCCACAGGAAGGTAAATAATTAATTGAAGCAAATGGAACTCTTAACACTGAATCGCTACATTCTTTTGTTTGCACCTTTGGATAGTAAGTATGTTACATTGTATATTTGGCTTCATATCATGGAGACATTTCAATACAAATGGATGGCATGCATGGCTTGACTTAAGAGCCGCAGTTTCATTGTTAATCCATTTTGATTATTTTGTACTTGAGTTACTTATCTCAAAGTTGAAAACTCATAAATTTTCATAGACTTAAATATGTTGGATGTAAAAGACCTGGTTAACTATGGTCCTAATGTCTACTGGTAGTGTTGGGGATTGGGAGAGCTGGGGGAATTCTTCGTAGGGATGGAACTTGGAAAGAAAATCCGATCTATTATTGACCGACTTTAATACAGTTAGAAAACGTGTTCACCTGGATGTTATAGCTCAGCAGCAAATGGGATAGTGTAGCAAGAATGATGCTGCACAGTCTCCCCATCTTTTCACTGCTTGAACAGCTTGGCCATTATTTCCAACGATACAAGACAACATAGAGTGGACTGTGTTGCCAGATGGTTTTAAAAAAATGAAACAAGCCACCTTATGTGCGTGCACACAAACAAAATTCACGCCTCACAAACCCAAAGATGCTAACTTGCTTTGGAAATGGGTAAATCCACTCTGCCAATTATCCCCAAAGATGTATGACCTGGGAGGTTCTTCTTGGGAATGATGTCAACTTGATGGAGGAACATGATGCTAACCCCACTACTCAAAAGACCCCAGCTAGGGAAAGTTCAGCCCTCCATTTGCTGGTTCTCTGTCCACACAGTCAGCTCCATCCTGTTCCCAACCCCCTTTCCCAGACCATTTAAAGGGATCAGGGCCAACACCAATGTAAATCATTTTGGCTCCTGTTCTAATTTCTGAAATTCCTAAAATATCTGTGCAGCCCACAAATATGTCCTCTAGACTCTTGTTATTCAGCAGCTTGCTGCCAATGAGGTTTTTGTTTTTATGATTCCTCTGGTATGTAGGACAGTTTCACAGCCTAGATAAGGTAAGTACAATGCTCAATATTTTCACATAACCCAGTAAGTACTTCAAAGCAAAGCATTTGGCTGGGTAAGCAGTGTCTAAGCTCTTTCAACTTTGCCATTTATGAGGAACAAAATCCTTACGTTGCTGATCTGCAAAGGAGTGCTCTTTGCACTCTGATGAGCCCGACTGTCTCTTTTCCAATTGTTCCATTAGAATCAGTTGCTTCAATTTGTAAACAATAACGTTACCACCCAAAGCTGCTCAAAATAAGATGTGGGAAAATTACAAACACATATCAACAACTGGGACAGTCAGTCAGCCTTTGAAACATAACAAAACAAAACCCCAAACAAAAGAGATACTGTTTAATTAAAAAAAAAAAAAAAAAAGGAATTGGGAGAAAATGAAACTACCTGTATATAAATTAGGTAAGCAAACAGTGATACGGGTAGTCTTAAGAAGCAAATATATACAGTCAATTTAACAGTGTTTTACTTCTCTGGATTGTTTAATAGTGTCAACAGGAAAGATCTATTGAAGTTTCACTATACATTGCATTGATTGAACCTTGGAGAGTTTGATGAAAAGAGGGGCATCCCTAGGCATAAGTTTGCCGGCTTCCTTGCCCCTTCCTTTGAAATGCCTGCTGTCCCCACCCCACCCCCTTTTTTTTGCCCCAGATTGTTGCCTGATCATCTGAATGCAGATGGGTTCCTCTAAGTTCTTCCTGTACCCATAAATCCCTTCTCAGAATCCACTTGCAAAGTTGAAGTGACGTGGGAGTGCAGGGGCACCCATGTTGGAGAGGGGTCAAGATTGGCCATCCAAGGCAGAAGTCACCCCAGAAAAAGCCAGGCATGGTCACCTCACCTTTCAGCTGGTCGTTTGGCTCTGAATGTTCTCACCCCCACACATTAGAAGGAATACTGACTTCCAGTTCTACACAACATCCTTCCAGGGTAAGAAGTGAGGCTCTCTGAGTTGCGCCGTTGGGGAACGCTGGGAAGAGTCAGGCTTACAGTTTTGTACTGGGGTGTACGGACGACAGCTGGGAAGATGGAAAGGCAGCTTGAGGATTTATAGCAGCTAAAGGGTAAATGCTGTTGTGCAAAAGGTCACCGTATGAACTTCCTACAGGTGTGGCTGCGGCCAAGTGTCTGTACAGCTGCTGGGAATTTGTCGGTGATGTGAAGATTCCTCTTTGCATCACAAGTGAGTGGAAAGCCAGGGGCTGCATGAGTGGAGAAAGAACACTCTGGTTTTTCAAGTACTGCAGAGAATGAGAATATCCAGCTGGGAGCCTGGAGTTACACAGGCTCCCAGAATACAGACCTGGGAAGATGGGGGAAGAAAGGGGGAGCTTGTGGCCTTCTGCACCACCCCCAGAATGCCCACTGTGCACAGCCTTGCCTCCTTCACTCTCCTGGTCAGAGACCTTCTCTTTCCCAGAACCCTCCTTGGATGTATCCAGTGGCGACACTGCCCGGGCCTTTTTCCCAGCAATAACCAGGTCCAAATCCTCTAGGCTGCGCTTTATAGGACGCGCTGAACCAATGTTCTGAGGGCTCATTTTCCGGTGCAGGATGGGGTGTACCATGCCCTCCATCTTCCTGAAGTTTTCCAGTCTCACATGATGAGGCTTTCCTGATCTCGAAAGTGACTCTGAATATTTTTTAGGGGCCGACATGGTCATGGGTGATACCCGGCAGGCTTTGGGGTGACAGTCTCGACTCTGGCTGCCGATGACCTGGAACTGAGAGGTGGCTTTGCTCTCCTGGGGCCCAGTGACCGAGTGGGCCAGGCCCAGGACCTTGCCTGTCGGTTTGTGCGGGTTCTTGGGAAGGCTCAGATCCGTTGGTTGATCATCTGTGGGGCCTTCCGCTGTGGCTGACTTTTTGTCTTGCAGATGCAGAGATGTCAGATAATTGACAGGGAGCTTTTCTTGGTGTTTATGGGAAGGAAAGGAATTGTTTTCTGATTCCCTGTATATATCCCTGGGAGGATATTTGGATGTCTGCTCATTATGAAGATGGTGTTCGGTATGTCTGTAGAGGCTGTGGAGATGAGGGGACGAGTAGAAGTCAGCCAGGAAGCTTGGCATGTGGGAATGGGGGAGTGCTCTTTTTTCTAAGAGTTTATCCTTGCCCTCCTGAAGTTCTTGCTTGAGGACGTAGGAGTCCGTGAGGGGGCTCAGGTGATGCTTGGAGAAGCTGCAGCGGTGGGCATCCGATCGACTCAGTTTATCATGTTTAAAAATGTCATTGATGGCTTTCCTGTCCTCAGAGGGCTTGCTTTTGAAACTTTGGACATGCTGGATCACAGACGGCCGGCTGACTGTCATGTGGTCAGTGCTGTGGCCGTGGTGAGACTGTGGCAAGCCTGAACACAAGTTGTCCCTGGCGATCAGCTTCTTTTTGCTGATCAAAGGAGGTGGGGAGCCGTAGGGGTAGCTGCTGGAGAGGCTGGCCCCACTCACTTGAGACAAAAGCTTTTTCTTGGCCAGAGGTGACATGATGCCTGGGTTCCCCCTTGAGTAAAGGAGGGGTGTGTAATTGAGCCCATAATTCTCATTCATGGGCCCGGTCAGGTCTTTGTCCTTAAACATGTCAAATGACTGGACCACCAGGACTTTAGGGCTCTGCTTGAGTGCATTGTGGATGTCATCACTGCCAAGCTGGTCAACCTTTACCGTACAGTTAGCAATGTAGTCTGCCATGGCTGGCACCTTACCGTCTTCCAGCTCACTGGAGTTGGCCAGGGGGGGCTGTGTGGTGGGGAAGCTGGGGAAGGCTGCTTCTTGGAGTTCACTGTCAGGATTCTCTGTAAAAGGGCAGGGTTTGGGGTCTTGCTTTGAGTCCACTTGGGCATTGGCAGAGGGGACTGACTGGTTGCCAGCCCCTGGGACCACGGCTTGGTCTGTTTCTGGAGCCGGAGGTGTAGTTGGGAGCGGAGGTGCAGGCCCTTTCTCTGGTCCCTGCTCTGCTGGCTTCTCACTGCTGGAACCTTGGTCTATGTCATTGTCCTTTTCTGGGTCTGCTCGGGGTGCTGAGGGCCTTGTTGCAAAATCCTGGTACCCTTCCATTTTCTTCTTCATTCCAGTTGCTGGGAGAGGTTCACTGACACTTTTCTGGTTTAAAGTCTCTTGTTCCTTCTCTTGCTCTGATGAAACCTGATAAAATATTTCAAAAGACAGTCACAAGGAAGCCAAATATACTGACACATTTTACTATAAAGTTTTTCCTGAAGAGATGCTTGTCAATCAGTTCACAGAGTGATTGTGGAGATTTATCGCTCCCCAATCAGGTCTCTTAAACAAAGAAATCTAAATTACAGAAACATTCGGGGAAATCTGCCTATTTGCTTAAGTCCCGTATGAGACAACCTATCAAAATAGCAAAGTGCTATGTACTTAGTGGTACTATCAATCCTTGATTCCAATATATAACTTAATTCAGTCAATTTTCCAAATGGATTTTAAATTACAAGTTGTGTTTTATGACACCACAGAGAAAGATTTTTTTTTAAGTGTCTCTCTTTCCAAAGCCCAACCAACCCTGTGTCAACAACAAACAACAGCTTAGTTTCAATCCTTGCCTTTTGCTGAAAGAGCAGGTCCCTTTCTAATGTGTTCAATATGATGTGCTGATCATTAGTGATGCTAAAATATTAATAATGACTTCTACTCAGTGGCAAAAGGCATACAGACAATGCCAAAATTTAACAAAAGCAGACAGATGCAATAATGACCTATCTACCAGAGAGAGAGAAAGGGAAAAGAGGCACTTAGGCTGTGGTAACCTATATTTCTATTAAAGCTAAAGATGAAGTTGTCAAAACCAAAGACAGTGAGTACCCCTAGAATACAGGTTTTCCCTCAACTAAAATAAATTACAGTCAACAAAATGATATAATAATCTTTATGGGTCTTTATGGATGGCTGGTTGTGGGCTCAATTGGACCTATTCATTATATTACAGAATAAAGTGAACTTTGATCTCAGAAAGGTTATCCAAACTTTCCAATTGTGACTCAGCTGATTAACAAGCCCTTTCAAACTATCTTTCTGCCCTGACAACATGTCTTGGTGGAGAAGAGGCACAAGATTTGTATAATTTGGCTTTCTTTTGTTTTTTTTTGGTCATCCATTTTATCCCTTGAATTTTATTCGTCTCTGTTAAGAAAAGTCTCAATGGCATTAGAATTTCAGGCCAAAATGAAGAATGGTGGTACAGGGATACATACAATTTAAGAAATCATACCCATTTCTTAGATGTTCCTCCTCAAATGGGAGTCCTGATGTGGCCCTGTAAGATTGCTAACCACAATGTCAGCAGTTCAAACCCACCAGCCACTCCTCTGAAACTCGACACAGGGTCATCACAGTACTTAATGACAACAAAACCTCCTCAAATGTACTTACAGACAGCCGTGTTTTTAGGGCTCTGAATTCTGTACAGGGTCGGTATGAGTTGGAACTGACTCCATGGCACATAACAACAACATTCATTCCTAAGAGCTCTGTTTATCAGTTTGTTTGTATTGGGGGGAGGGGGCAGGGGTCCTCATAGCTGCATTTTCTAGCACAAATATCATTACTTGTTCTACATTAACAACTGTCACTGGTCTCTTGAGCTTATACATTACTATATTAGAATAGAGAAAAATGAGTATGGCAAGGGGAAAAGGTAAATTACATATAATTGTTAGTTTTTCATGGGAGTGTAGTTTGAGGTAGAGCTATGGGTTACTCAACTCCATTGAGATTTCTTTGACCTAGGTATTCAGTTACACCAAGTCCTATATATCTTATTCGAACCATGTTGAGGAGGCCTTTGAAAGTTAAACGGGTGTGGGGGAGTGGGGAAGAATCAAGGATCCTTTTCATTGGATGGCATTTTATGATCTGCCTTAGTATACTAAGTGGTGATACCTTCTCTTCATACCACTTACAATCTAAGATAGCTCAGGATAGTGAAATTGACTAGCGGGGATTTAACACATATTGTCCCCACTGAGTTCACTGCTTCTCATTGAAAATAGTAAAAACAAAAAAGCAAGGAAAACAATGAAATCCAAATCAAAAAAATAAATACCAAATAGAATCCAAGAGAAGATATATACCTGATCAAGAGCATGGCTTTGTGTTCTAAGGGAGCAATTCTTACCCCTTACAGAGAGTGTTAAATTCCGACCTCATTCAGGTGAGACAATGATAGCTCCCTGAAGAGAACTGTTTGGTCTTTATGACACAGGGAATATTAGCTTTAGGGAGTTCTAAGGACTCTAGCTCAGTGAGGTACCAGCTAACAGGCCACTCTGTTAGCCACTTGTGTATGGACTGAGGAGTTCTCTCATAACTCGCAAACCCAGTTTCAAACCCCATTGCCAAGACAGCGGCATTCAAAGTTCAGCTGACTACTTGAGCTTTGGCAATGCTGCACATGTGGTACCTAAGAGAACTCAAGGATTTGAAACCCCATCATAAACTGCCAGGCCCACAGGATAAAGGAAGAATGAAATGCAAGCCTTAACTTGGAATTTCCTTGCTTTTGGTCATTTATGCTGTAAGCTTAAGATGTTTAGAAATCTCGGCATCATCACCCCTCCCCCATTAATTATTAGAGTTTAAAATAATCATGAAACTAAACAAAAAACAAACAAAATTCTCTCCTTCGTATTACTACTGTCTTCTTATAGGGGAGTTAGTTGGGTAAGTTAATTTCTAGTTAGGAGGGCAGTGTGTGTTGTTTAAAGTCAGTGTTTAATTAGGGAGTCTCCTATGTGTTCATTATAAACCTGATTTTTTAGGGGGTGTTTAATATCAGCATCAAAATTCCCTCTGGGGTTGAATCCTAGAACATGCTGTCTCCAAATGTGGCTGCTAAGTTTTTTTGTTTTATGGGCAGCAGCAGAGTTTTTTTTATTATTCATGTTGAAACAGAGCCCAGGTCAGTCTCTAGGACTGGCTAAATGCTGACAGTAACGGCTTCTACCAAAGAGCTCCTAGGGGCTGCGGGGAGCTGGGGCTTGTTTTAAAAGGTTCAGAAAACTACCTGTTAACATGAGAGATAATAATGGCTTTGGAGGAACCATTTCAAAATTTCCCTATAAATAATATGCACTTAAGATGTTTCTAAATAGATGTCAACTCAAGGAAGGCGGTTTCATCGAGGTCAAACAAGTCTCTAAAGTTTTCAGGACAGTTCTGCAGAGGTGTGGCATGTCAGTTTCATTGTCTTCCCCCCACCTCTTCCCAGACATCCAAAGACTTCTTAAAAATCACACCAACTTCTTAGAAAGATTGGCTGTCAAGTGGCAGAGTGGCCACCACTGGAGGACTTACTTTCACTGAGATGAAGTCTGGACTCTTAACACAAAGTTGGAGCTACCAGTTTTATACAGAAATATTCATATCCTTCTGATTTCCATTCTTGGCCTATCCAAAGGCGATATTATGTATTTCATTTCAGTTCCTGATCAAACTCAAAGTTTCACTCTTTGGAGAACTGTGAAGTTGAGACAATTTGCTCTTTCAATCTAGCAACGTAACTTTGCAGGGGCATGGTCATATCACTGAGGGCTCTGGAAGACCCCCAAGGCAGGACCTGTCCCCCAGAGAGATGTGTGTGGAGGAGAACTACTCACCTCTGTTGCATCCTGGGGCTTTGGGGCATTCTCTTTTTCTTTCTTGCTCTTAGGGTTTTCATGTTTGATGCGCTTGGTTCCTGATACTTTTGTTTTATTCTCAATCTCCTGTGAACTGTTCTCCTGTTTCCGAGGTTTGACTGGAGGCAGGGGCTTATCTTCCTCTCCTTTAATAAACCTTTCATACGGGAGAATTAATCTGAAAGGATAACAGGATGAATGAGTGCTCATTGAGGTAATTCTAGTTGCAGTGATGTTATGGAGGTTTACCTTCTTCTCAGTACGAACATGGAGAAAAGAATGATTCCATCGCTAAGACACTGACGCATTTCTACACATCTACCGCCATACATTCTAAGATCTCTTTGCCTAGGAAGTACCTAGGAAATTACATACTTCTGCAAAATTTCCTTTTGGTTTTGGGAGTCTATAGAGCCAGTACAGCAATGGAAACCATCCAAGGCAGACAGCACCACCATATCATCTGGCGAAGTGCCAACAGTAACACTGTACCAATAATAGTAACAACAATGATTGTTGCTGTTAGTTAATTTTTGACTCATGATAGCCCCAGGTGTACAGACTCTAACTGCTCCACAGGGTTTTCATAGCTGTGATCTTTCAGAAGCAGATAAGCCAGGCCTATCTGCCCCGGGTACCTTTGTTATTATTGTTAAGTGCTGTTCAGTTGGTTCTGACCCATAGCGGCCCTTTATAGGGTTTCTGAAGAGTGGCTGGTGGACTTGAACCATCGACATTGCAATTCAGACCAACTTTGCAGTCCAGTTTATTAACCCAGTGCCACACCAGGGTTAGAGCACCTCTGGGTGGATTTAATTCACCAACTTTTCAGCTAGTAGTCAAGGATTCATAACCATAGCTACCACTTATTTACTATTTCATTGACAACTGCTTATTGACTGCCTACTGGGTGTGTTAGGCAGTGTTCTAAGCAGTTACACAAATGCTGTTATGAAGTTCCAATTCATAGCGACCCTGTATAGGGTTTCCTAGAAGCAGATGGTGGGTTTGAACCACTGACTTTGCAGATAGCAGTGCATTGCTTATCTTACAGTACCAAACCAGGATATGTTTTTGCTGCTGTCAAGTGTCAACAAGTTGGGCCCAACTCATAGCGACCCTATTTAGGATTTCCAAGGAGCGGCTTGGGGGTTTGAACCATCAACGTTGTGCTTATCTTATGGTGTCACACCAGTTCAGAAAACCTTCAAGGCCTCTGGCCTCATGAAGTTTCCATTCTAGTAGGTAAGAGTATGTGCCAGGTATAGACACAGATTATTCCGTGGAATCCCTATACCATTCTTAGAAGATATTATTGTATTTTTCTCAGTAAGGCAACCGAGATCCAAAAATATTAAATAATTTGAGTTACTCCATTTGTTGGATGTGGACTTTGAACCTAGCTTTTCTCCAAAGCCCATATTTTCATTTAGGTAAAAATGTAGACCAGCCACTTAAGATAAAAAGGTCAGAGACACAAGGACAGTGTGGCTGAGGGATAGCTGTCTAAGCTAGCACCTCTGAGGAGTTGGGGACTTTAATAATGAAGACCTCTACTCAGGGTCACAGTAAACGAGAAAGATCACTCAAACTTCAGTGAGAAAGAAGGTGGCAGACCACTCTAGCCACGAGAAACAGAGGGCTGAGAATTTTTAATTACATAACTTTTAAACTAAGTACATAAAATTGCTTTAAAAAGAGGAACATCAAACGGCTCTAGTTTTAATCTGTTTTCCCTTTGCGGCGCAGTTCTTGATCTGAAAGGGAAAAATAGCTGATGTAATTAAAAGGGATGGATTGCATTACAATCTCAGTTTCAACTTCAGTGATTAAAGTTTTTATAATGCATTTGGTATGATTAATGACTCACTGTGGAATTAATACAAGACTCAGCCTTAAAAATAAGAACTTTCAGACGGCAAACATAATTTGTTTTAAATAAGACAAGTTGATTCAATGAAGAACATGTACTTGGCTTATAAACAACATAAATCTGTTCAAATATTGGGACTCCTAATTATTTTTAAACTAAGACTCCCAGGCAAAAACAAAACAAAACAAAACAAAAACTCCTTTGGTTTGGATCTACGTTAGCTATCTTCAAACTGGTTTCTAACTTTGCCATTTGGATCTTAACTACTTAAACATGCCCACTGTTCAAGTCTAGGAGTAAGACACGGGAGACATTTGTGATCCTAATATTTCCCTCCTTATGAAAATGCCATGTCAATTACAGGAAGATCAAATCCCAATTTATGGCATATTAGAAACAAAATTCATTCACTGAGCATGCTCAGACAAGGTAGTGCAAGGAGGCGTGAATAATACTTTTGAGCTCCAAACCTGGCAGTGGGCCAACGGTGAAGATCAACACAGCCCATGGGGAATAGTTATCTTCAGATCCCATTACAAACTGAGTTTAAACATGTTACAGCTGCTAAAACTGGAAACCACTCTCTCTATGTAGACTTACTAAAATAATATATGGTTGGCAAATACCTGCTTCCCACTGTAATATCACAGTTAATATTTATATAATAAAAAGCATAACGAAGCAGAAGAAGAGAGGAAAAAAGCAATCTTGTTCATACTTGAGTGTATTCTTTCTCATCTGTAAAGTCCCCAACATCACCGCACCCCCCCCCACCCCCGACACATACACACTCCAATTCCTGTTATCTGCAGGTTCTGCCAGGGACTTTATTTATCCCCTTTAGCATTAGTAGGTTGGGGATTTTTGTCCAGGAGTAGAATGCATTAGATATTTTAAACTGGAAAAAAAAATTTTTTTAAAACATACTTTAATGAAAACATATTCTTATTGGGGATAATTGTTGGGGCAGATAGGCTTGTTTTACTTTTGTTTGGTTGCCATGGGAACCCAAGGAGCATTGCCGTCTGGGTATTCCAATGGCCGCTACTTGTTGCCACGCGTCTCCCCAATTTCATTCTCGGATTGAGACAATGATAACACGAGGGATTCTCTTTATGGAGAAAGGCAGCAGCATTATTTCTGAGTATGGGAGCATGATGTGGGGAAGCAAAGAATCAGAGAGAGACAATGGGGGCCTGAGAAAGTACTTCCCACTGAGTTCTGAAGGTCCTGGGACAACTTAGACTTCTCTGTGTGCTTGTTGGTGGTGAAGTGCTGTAGAGTCAATTCTGATGCATAGCAACCCTATATATAAGGTTTCCAAGGAGCGCTGGTGGGTTTGAACTGCCGACCTTGTGATTTGCAGTCCAGTGCTTATCCTATAGCGTCACATCAGGACTCCGTATGTGTGCTTGTTGTTGTTAAGTGCCGTGGGGTCGGTTCCGACCCATAGCGACCCCTGTATAGGGTTTCCGAGGAGAGGCTGGTGAACTTGAACTGTCGACCTTGCAGTCCAAGCCAACTTTGCAGTCCAGCGCATTAACCCACAGCGCCACACCAGGACTCCATATGTGTGGCTTAAGAGATTTTAATTTCCTTTTACAATTTTGCAAGTTCACAAAGCACAGTAACATTTTCATTTCATTTCTTCTTCTTTTTTTACCCCCTCCCCTTCACTCAACTCAGCAGCTGGCTGGCCGACAGCAGTAAAAAATACATTTCACTTAGCTGGTCAAAGGCCTAAAGCCAGAAGCAGGAAATCTGGAATTAAATGTTTCTTGTATCTGGAAAGAGGCATGACTAAGGTAAAACTGAATCCAACACAAGCCCTGCTTGTTCAAGGCTTGTAAGCAGGAGAGTGTATGTGTGTATTTCTGTGTTACTGTGTATGTAAGTATATGTGTGTGTGTGCATGTATATACGTGCGTGTGTGTAAAGAAAGGTCAACCAAATATTTTCCTCCTCCTTCTAAATCATTGAAAGATAATTACATTGGCTCTAGGGGTAGAAAACACTCTCAACTGAATAAAACAAGAAAAATAGCAACTAGAAGAAGCAAGTATAAATACAGCCAGTGAGGCTCTGGTGAGGCATGATCTCTCATGGTACACAAACAATCACCGCTTCATATAGTGATTTCCATTTGGTGTGATTTTTCACTGAAAGTTTTTTCAGTTATCCTGTCATGGTACAATACAATTATCCCAGAGGATATGATCTTACATTTGATTATTAGAAGTTTTTATAGGACAAGGAAACGAGAGCTATTAATAGGTGTCTGAGCAGTTAAGCATTCAAATACACATGTGGTACCACTGAAAACAGGGTGGCCAATATAAGGTCAACATTGCCCAATGAAGGAAGCTGAGGAGTTTTGCATTACATAAGGAATTTAATATACTGAAACATGCCCGAGACTTGCTCATGATTATTCCTCAAATATTTGTAGTACAACAAAGATTTAATCAGTTTCTATCTAAACTGTACAGATAAAAGCAAAAATGTATTCCCATCCCCTCAGAACTCATTAAACTGGAGAAATATTTTCAGTATGCTGTAGCTCTAAGAATGCTGGTTGAGTTTTAGGTGGGTGGAAATAATGGGGAAGGAAAGCAATATGTTTATTATAAAATCCAAAGAGATGTGTCCTTCTGCCATCTCCTGGATCGCCATCTAGTCCAGAGATTGAAAGCTGGGCAAATAAATAGGTCTTTATTATTTTCCATATTCCACATTATAGAATAGCAAAACGCTCATTTACAATGCCATTAATGGCTTTGAAATAGGTAAACCATCATGGATTAAAAAATAACATCTTTCCATAGGCATAAGATTTGTAGCAGCATGAGATTTTATTTTTCCCTAGGAATAATACAAGAATAACATTTTCCACCCCAAAGCAGAAACAGTAGGGGAGCCTTTTGCTATCATGGAGATTTCTTATTAAATTCAGCCACTGTGAAAAGCAAGTCTTTTTTTTTTTTTTCTTCTAGTTCTCCTTTTTTATTTTTTTAAATAAATAAAGATGACTTAAAATCAACCCAAGTTAAAATTAACAAATCAATGCCATTATAACCTTGATTTATTAGTGCCGGAGCCACTAAATTATCATCATACAAGAAATTGCTAGTTTGAAAAGATCTCGGCTTTACTAAGTCTCAAGTTAAATAATGGTGCTCGGTATACAGGTTTTTAGATCTGCCGCCTCTGACATTATGAAAAATTCAATACATATCTGTCTAGCAGAAGCCAAGGGTCAGCAAATCTATTACTGTAATGCAAGTAATCTGGCAACCTGCCAACAC